ATCTATCTATCTATCTATCTATCTATCTATCTATCTATCTATCTATCGTGTCTCTGTGTATCCCTGGCTGGCCTGGAACTCACAGGGATTCACCTTCCTCTGCTTCTTTCGCTCACCTCAATGAGTAGAACACCAACCATCTCCCCTAGTTACCGCTCCCCCATAGGGGACACTCAAGCAGCTTCTGGTGTTGCACACTTCCTCCAGAAGCAAAGGTGGAAACACAGTCACATTAGCCACAATGACAGTACCTTGATAATTAATGTGGGTAGATGTCATTCTGGAAGGTTCTGTGAGGTTGCTCTGGGATGACATTAGTCAGGAGGCCTTTGATAAAGTCCTCAGTGCTCCCCTAATGTGGACCCCACCAATCACTGGAAAGCCTGCATAAAGAAGACCGGCATGTGTCAAACGTGAGGGAATTCTCTATTTGACGGCCTTAAAACTCCTGTTCCTCCAGCTTGCTAGCCCGTCCTGCAGATTGGGAATGTCTAGCTTCTGTATTTGTGTGAGCCAATTCCTTTACATCTCTCAATCTTCCCCTCCCACACATAAGTCAAAGCTATTTTTTTTTTTATAAAATTGTATTTGTTTCTCAGTTTCTCTCTCAACCTGGCTATCACACAAATAATTGAGACTCTTTTCTATTTTTTTAATAATAAGCTTCACAGCACAATAACTGAGCAGTTATTACCCTCTAAGTTAATTTGGCTTCCTTCCAGCGTACATCCCAGAGATACTTGCACTTTGTAGATTTCCTGCTCTGGCTCCTTCTCCTGATGTCTCTTGAACCTCTTACTTCAAACTCCTCCCTTAGCTGGCAAAAAAAAAAAAAAAAAATGCAGCTTTATTCTTTTTCCTACTTAGTGATTGGCTGTAAGATACTTCATTGGCATATCAGGGGACAATTGGGGAGCAGTGTTTTCACCACATTGAGACAGGAGATTCTCAGAACAAGGATTGAACCAGATATGGGGGGGGGGGGGCTAGAGAAGTCAGCATTTGAATTTCACAATAACTGTATGCCCACACACATATAACTCCCAACCCATTATGCATTGAGGATGCATACCAAGACACCCAGTAGAGGCATGGGAATTGGAGAGCACTGAACAGTTCATATACCAGTACACCTCGGTATCCATTGTGAATTCCTTCCAGAACCCTCACGAACACCGAACCCTGAAGATTCTGCACCATTTATATAAAATGATGCCATTTACACACAACCTATGCACATCTCCCAGTGTAGTTTAAATCACCTGTAAATTAATTATAAACCCCAAAGTAAATCCTGTGTAAACAGCTGCTTTACTATATTATTTAGAGAATAACAGCAACAACAAAAATTCTACACATATTTAGTGCAGACATAATTCCCCCCTCCACCTCAGATATTTTAAATCTCTAGTTGGTTGAATCTATGGATGTCAGACATGCTACCTGGAAAAAAAAAAAAAGCCTGGTGTTTTTTACTTATGTGTATGTATGTGTGTGTATGCATATGATAAAATTTATATGTAAAGCACAGTAAGATATTCACATAATAAACAGTATGGTTACAGTAAACTATAGTAAAAGTTATAAGAATATGGTCTTTCTCTAAAAGCATGTTTTTGTAGTGTCGTCACCTTTTTTTTTCCTGATGATGCAATACCTGAGACGGAACGAGGTCAACGATGGAGACACTGTGAGTAGCAGTAGGACAGTACATAAAATTACTTCAATGCAGCACTGTGACAATTGTTCTGTGATAACCAAGGTGGCTAAGATCAGATGACTAACAGGTGGAGAGCATATACAACGCGGATACAACGGGTGATGAGATAATTCATGTCCTAGGCTACATGGAGAACAATGGCGTGAAATTTCAGGCAGTGTACAATCTCAAACTTAAGAATTACTTACTTCTTAAATTTTCCATTTGATTTTTTTTGTACCACAGTTGGCTTGTGGGTGACCCAGTTTTGGAAAGGGTGATCACATTATGCGGAAGGAGGCCAACTTATATGAATATTTTTTTTTCCTCTGGAAAATCTTGAGAGTTACAGTGATATAAGCTATTTTTATGGTTTTTTAAGGCTTTATAGTACGGTAATTTGCAAGCAATACTAAAATAAACAAGGTAATATAAATCCTCACATTCTAAGCACTTGGCTTCAATGATGATTAACCTATGATCTTGACTTTTTATATGTGTCTACCCACTTAATTACCGCCTGTATTCTTTTTAAGACAACCCTAGGCGTTCTACCATTCCATCCAGACATATTTCAGTATGCATCTCCAGGTGATAATGACTTAAAAACACAACCACAAGACCATTAGCACACTTGAAAATAAAGCCAATTTCCTGATACCATCAAAGATTCAGTCCTACCCAATTTCCTGGTACTTATCTTTTGAAAATTGATTATTTTGTGAGTACTCTAAAAATTAACACAAACATAGTACCTACGCTTTGGAAAACGCAGGAAAGCAGCTAGGAGAAAAATTAGAGCCAGCCACAATTATTGGGGCTCTTGCCAGCCTATATGGTGCCATTTCATAAATAGAAAAGGAAAAAAAAGGCTCATTTCAGGAAGGCAGCTTGTGCCAAAATGCCCCCCACTCTTCTCTCCAGCAGATGCCCAAGTGCTGTGCACAACTGAGCATTTTATGCTCAAGCCCTTGAGGGTTCCCCCACTGTTTACATTTTGGAGAAAAGCCTTTCAGATTTTCTATGGATATATACATATTTTTTGCATAATTGTTTTCATATGGTGCATTCAGTTTTGCAAGCAGCTTTTTCCCCCCACTACATAGCAGACCGTAAATGCTTTTCCGTGTTGTGAAATATGCCTCTCAAACATGACATTCTGTGGCTGCATAGAGCGCACTGTGTGTTTGTCCTGTGTGTGGCTGTCCTCTATGGGATCAGCAAAGGCCCAGTTGTTTAGATCTACAGCCCTTGGAGTGCACAGTCTGTCTTTGGAAGACAGAACACAGGCAAGAACAGTATGTCCTTCACGGTAGGAACATGACACGCAGGGGATCCTCTGCACACGCGCTTGTGTGATCACAGAGGTTGTAAATTGGTTCCTCGTGGTTGGTTTGGAAAGACAGCTAAGGTATGGTTCTATTTAGTTCAAGTCATGCCTTGGGGAGCAGGAAGAGCTGTCCCTCAACATGTTTAGACTCTTAGCTTTTTCATAGTAAACAAGAAGCTTTAGCTAAGAGCCACGAGGCAAGAAAGAGTGGAACATGGTTGCAGGGACAGTTATTCCCAGAGTTATGCAAGCAAGAGATGTGGGTTTTGAAAACCAACCTCCATTGACGTGTGAGGCAAACAGAAGACAACAGAGGAGAGAAGGGTGGGGAGGGAGGGTTGCCCCATGAGCTGTCCTTTTTGGGTGTTAGTTCCCCAGCACAGCCATTTCTAGATGAAAAGCAAAAAGCAAAAACAAAACAAAACACTTACCAAACGGTCTCGTAAGAAATACCATCACAGACTCAGGAGCCGGCTAATGGATTCTCGGAAAATCGCCAGCATACAAGCTCCATCTTTTGAGAACCAGAATAAACATTGAGGTCAATTGCAAAGCACCCATTTGCTCAAACCCACAGCCCACAGTCAGCCCAGAGCTTGAGCTGCTGTTTTCCATGCCAGCCCTTATCTTCTGCAGGGAGTCCGCAGGACTGAATGACTCAGTTTAATGGAGTCGTTGCGACAGGGCGAGGTCACAGGGCAGATGTTAACCAGGAATTCCTAACTTCGGAGGCCACTCTGAAGGGTAGTAGAGTTTCAACGCTGTAAACCCTCGCTGAGTGAGAAGGCCACTTCCATGCAAGCCTGGGGGCTACCTAAAAAAAAAAAAAAAAAAAAAGCATAAAGTGGGAATTGCACTGGGTTTCTATCAATCCATAAATTAAGGTTGGAAAGTGGGTAGGAGGCCCACGTCATTGTAGAGGGGTTTTCATAGGGTAAGAGGAGGTATGCAGTGCTGGGTCCCTTTTAAAGGTAACTTGTACGCTAAACAGGACCAGGGAAGTAGCCCTGAGCCCCCCCTCCCCCGGCTGCCATGAGCCACCTCTCAGCACTGCCCCAAACAGCATTTTTGTTTTTTTAAATTGATTCCACCCAGGATTTTATCAACAGCTTTTTTGGGTGGCATGTGAGTCACACAACATGATAGTATCAAACATGAGGAACTTTTCTTGGATTGAGAGGGTAGGAATGGGAAATCAAGGTGTTGGCAGTTGGTACTGTCCCTCCAAGTACTCTAGGCGGGAAATTTTTCTCACCACCTTCAGAAGACGGTGGTTTTATCCAGGTGGCCCTTGGCTGTTGTAACTGATCTCTGCCCCTTCATTCTCGTGACCTCCTCCTTCAGGACCTACCCTAATGGTCTTATCATTATGTTCATAGTAACTGTAGTTACAGGCCGCATCTGTAAGGATCAAGGGGAAGGGCTTTCTTGTGGTTTTTTGGGACGGGGGAGGGACACAACGAAACATAATAATTTGAGAGTAAAAAATTTTTCAATTGAGTAGGCATGATGGCATATGTCTTTAATCCTAGCCCTGGAGGGACAGAGGCAGGCAGATCTCTGTGAGTTCAAGGCAAGCTGTTTTTACATAGCGAGTTCGAGGCAGGCTAGGGCTACAGAGTAAGATCTCTCTCTGTCTCTCTCTCTCTCTCTTTAATGGGGGATGGGAGGATTCTGGAATCATATATCCACATGTTTCACTTATTTTTGTGTGATTGTCAATCACTCACTTATCAATCCTGGGCTCCATGGCCCCTCCCCTGTCGGTTCAATGCTGTTCCCACCTATTTTGTCTCTAAAATACTGAATAAGGGGAAAGAGTTCTGACTGGGAACAGCCTCCCTACTGTGAAAGGCAGTGCAGGGGTCAGCCAGGAGGGGATAATTGAGAGAAGTCCCTAGAAAGACTTTTTTTTGTGTGTACTTTGCTTTTGGAGAAAGAGAAAATACACACACACACACACACACACACACACACACACACACGTATATGTAGCCCAGGCTAACCCTGAACTCTCTATATAGTCCAATATCCTCCTGCATAAGCCCCCAGTAGTGGAGTTCTGGGCAGACTTGGCAATAGCTAAGCTGTAGACTTAAGAGCAGCCGGACCAATTGCCCAATTCTTTTCCCAGCTCCCCAGGCTACCACACCCCGGGACAGCACTCTGGACAAGTTCCAAGGCCCACTACATACATTCAAGGACTCTTGGCTCTCACCGTGGAGCTGGTTCTTGGCAGGTGGAGCCTAGTTGGCCCAGACTCCGTGGCTGCACTCAACCCAGCTTCAATATTTGGACAGGCGCAAGGCATGTGTGCAGAGGCAGCGAGCGAGTTGAGAGAGTTTCAGCTCCGGGTGAGACTGAAGGGATTTGACATGTTATTGAATCCGGGTGCAGAAGGTGAACTCTGGGCCGCCACGCATCCCAGGAATGCGGAAGTAGAGCTCTCAGCGCATATCTGAAGCTGACAGGGGCTGACAGTCCCCATCTGGGAACAATAAGCCAAGCTGAACGCTCAGCCGGGGCAGGGGCTGCTTCCCTCCACCCCCGCCCTCCCCTCCACTCTAACAAGGTGAGCGCAAGGAGGGAGCTTCGCCTCTCCTGCAATCCCCTGAGTCCTGGGGACCGCTGAGTGGGGCAGCGTCTCGGATGCTTGCCATTCCGGGAGCAGCGGGCTGCGACACGGTCCATTTCTCCCCCGGGAGAGACCAGAGTGGAACGCCACGGGGAGGCAATTTGGGATGCCGACTGATCACCCAGCCAGCTGCGGGTCTCCTCGCTTCAGGGAAGCCGGGGCAGCGATGTGTTTGTGTCACGGTGAATACTCCGGGCTTTCTTTGTTCGCTTGGGGCGGGACTTCCACAGTGAAGTTCAAAGCACCGGTTCACAAGCCACGCATCCTAATCCTCTCTCTCTGATCTGGATTTTGTCCCCGTTTGTCGTGTAACTAAACTGATTACAAGATTTTAGCCTTTGGGCTAGGCTGGGTCTTTGGGATAGCCTTCCATAGGCTTTGCTGTCAGACGGTGCAGCAGCTGGGGAGTTCGTGGTGCAGAGGGTTCTGGAACAGGAAGAAACCCGGAGCCGAAATCTCGCAGCATGAGCCTACTTGCCCTTGCTGCTCACTGCGGCATCTGTCACCGTCCCTAGCCCTTGAATAACAGCATCTCAGACCATCCACGGCACCTCACCTCTCCAGATTCTGCCTTGTCCAACAGCACTGCTCTAGATCTGGGAACCCATCCTCGCTGGGACACCTGGAGATGCCCAGCCCTATCTCTTCGATTTGTGGCCCTCCCCATAGCGGCAGCTCTTCCCAAGGCGCATGTTGTCCCAGAGATCAAGCTTCTGTCCCGGGACCCAGAATCCCATACCTCTGCTATCTGTCTATAAGACACCACACTGGAGAGGTCCTGGTGCAGGCCTTGTGCAGGTTGGAGGGCCCTGTGCCAGGCTCCTGTAGAGGGTGTGGCTTTGAACTCACTACTCCCCCTCAGTGCCAAAGTCTCAGGCTTTGGCTTATCTTCCTGCCTGACCCCTCTCGGTGATACCTCACCATATAGTTACAAATCGAGAAACCAGCCTCCACTTTCAGGTTCTTTCTCTTTGCTACTATAGTCACCAAGTCTCCATGTGATCTCTAAGCTAACACTACGTGCCTTTCCTTCTCCCCATCCAAACTGCCTTCTGCTCTCCTGGGGAAAGCAACAGTTTCACTGGAGGCTTTTCTGCCTGTACCCCACCCCACATCCACCCAACAGTGCCTGCTTCTACTGGACTTTCAGCTCTCAACTTGTAGGTCAAAGACTTGCCAATGAGCTGCTGACCAGCCTCACTCTCACTCTCCCACTGTGAATAAATATGCAATTCCTATAATCTCTACTAGGCATTGATGGGGTCGGTCCTTGGGATGCTGAGTGAGCAGTGTATCGGGCAGGCCAGCTGCGGGACAAGTTCTTGCTGAATGAATAAAGGATCCAATAGACAGTGTCACTCACTATAAGGACAGAATCTACGTCTTCAAGCCAGAGGCAAATGTGAGTGGTTCAGACAGGAACTGCTCAGGCCACCAGCCTTTAGGAGACTTTGGACTCTGCTGTGAAGGTCGAGTGCCCTTGGAAATGTGCTAGCATGGCACTGCCAGAACGTCCCCTATGGGAGATACATTTAACCGTATTCACACCCATTACCCTCTGTTATCCCCTCTGTCTTCTGATGAAGCTCCATTTCTTTCCAACAAGCCCCGCCTCCTACTTCTGCGCCTTTCCCCTTTTCTTTTATGCAGCATTCTGAGTTTAATTAGGATTGTTTTCCTGAACGTGGGTGAGGGTGTATCATCAGCAACAAGGGCAACCTCCGGTTGAGGAAAATAAGGGTGGATCTTTTGACATTCGGCCGGAACGTTTTAGCAACACAAAATAAAAAGAAACAGCTGCTTGAGTCATTCCTCCTCCTCTTCCTCCTCCTCCTCCTTCTTTTCTTCTTCTTCTTCTTCTTCTTCTTCTTCTTCTTCTTCTTCTTCTTCCTCTCTCTCTGTCTCTCTCTATTTTTCTAGAGGTCACGAAGGTTTAGGACCAGAGTAGAATTGTTAAGGACAGTAACTTGGATCCCAAACTGCTCCTGAAATCCCCCATGTTCTCCCTTGTCTTAGAATCCTCTTGGTGCCTCTGCACTTACTCAGCCTTTTCTGCTGGGTGTCGAGGCTTTTGTCCTAAATATATGGGATTCAAAGCCAGGTGTGGTGTCACACACTTTTAATACCAGCACTCAGGAGTAGAGGCAGGCAGATCTCTGTGAGTTCGAGGCCAGCCCGGTCTATAAAGTGAGTCTTTGACAGCCAAGGTGACATAAAGAAATCCTGTCTTCAAAAAGAAAAGAAAACAAAACAAATGAACAAAAAAATAGGATTCATACTAGTATGGTAGCACTTGAGTTTAATCCCAGCACTCGGGAGGCAGAAGCAGGAGGATCTCTGAGTTTGAGGTCAGTCTGGTCTACAGACTGAGTTCCAGGACAGCCAGAGAAACCTTGTCTTGAAAAACCAAGCCAAGCCAAACCAAACAAGTCAGAAAAAAAAAAAAGTATTCTTAGACAATTATATAGAGGATAAAAGACATTAACTTCTTCTGCATTTTCTTTACACCCTTTTCATGTTTCCTGGAATGTAAATATAGTGGGTGGAGTTTCTGACAGCCCTGCTGGTCCATGAGGCAACTTTGGGAGCGAAAGAAAGAAAGAAAAAAAAAGAAAGAAAGAAAAAAAGAAAGAAAGATTTCAGATCAGAGAACATAGGGAAGCTTGGCTCCCTGATAAATTTATGGAGACATATATATAAATATATATATATATATATATATTTATTTATTTATTTATTTATTTATTTTGGAGATATATTATGGAGATTCATTTTATTTTGGGAGGATTGGGAGACTATACCTTCCACCGAAGGTACCACAGGTAGAATTCTTGTACTTGCAACTAAACAGAAACCTGTAAATGAATAGCTTGCCTGGGGTCCTGCGTGCCAAAGTGGGGTCCCTTAGCCCAGGACTCTTGTTTTCCTCCTTCTTTCTCAGTGTCTCTCTTCCTGTGTTGGCACAGCCAGGGCACCCAATGTCCTCTGCAAGCTGCGCATGATCACCTGCCTCTCATGTTGACAGGATGTACCAACCAGTGACCGGTACAGGGAACTCAAAGCTAAGAAATAGCCACTAGTGCTGGATGCACAGTCACCCATTCTCGGAATGTGAGCGTTTGTGCTTGGTCTGGAGCCTGTTCCTGGAAACAGTTAACGAATTGTGATGGTTTTCTTGAAATTGTACCCATGGATGGCAGCAGCATAGGGTGTTCCGAGCGCCCTGTACAGTTCTTCTAGGATCTAGGGTGGTATAGCTCTTCCTTGGAGAGAAGAAGACAGGGCAGAAGAAGCAAAAGCCAATTCCACTGCCACGTTCTACTTCTGACAGTGCCATCCTGACTCCCATTGTGTGACCTTGTCTGTTGCCAATGGCTGTGGCCTCTAGAATGTGCTGTGCCCTAGCTTGGAGTCGGAGCCAGAAAAGGCACTCTCCTCAGCCACTGTGGTTCAACAGAAGTACCTCAGAGGGCAGGGGCCACCATCTTCGAGGTCCTGAAACCAGCACAGAAAACATTCGGAAACAATTTGCAGCCATAACAGTAGCAGCCAAGAGCCACTGTTTTTGTACTGCAAAAGAAACTTACTCTGTGAAGGACATTCTCTGGTAGCTCGCACACTCCAGCTCTTTCACCCTCAGAACAACCTCTTGGGGCGTTTCAGTCCCTATGTTGTGAGAGAAGAGACTGAGACGCAGGTAGGTTTACCACGTGCCCAAAGTCACCGGGAAGTTCATGGTAGCCTCTCTTGTACAAGTCAGTCCTTGCCGTGGCTGAGATTCCACTTCCTGACCCCGCCCCTTCCTCATTTGGTCACCCAGGCAGCCCCTCACTTTCTTTACAAGATTTCTGAAGAGCCGCAATCTCACCGAGGTCTCCTTGGCCACTCTAACTGAAACGTCACTTCCCACCAGCGCTCTATACCTCTTCCTCCCAAGGTAGACGTGGGTGATGACCTTTCTAGATCCTTTTCCAGCCAACGTGCCCACTACAATTCCTGTGACTCTGTGACCGTCTGCTCTCCCTACCTCCCTATAAATGCCCCTGCTGGCTGGAGAATTGCCCCGACTCCGAAGCAGGGCCTTTTGTTTGAGAACTCTTTTGTGTGAACAAAATGAAACAACAACAAAATCAAACCACAAAAACACCGGTCTGGAATCTCCCCACCTGAAGCTCTGTGCCTACAGTACGTAACCGAAAATTATTTGGTTATTTTTGTTTTTTGTTTTTAGTGCCTTGCCTAATATAGTACATAGTATTGAACTTTGTCCTTCTCTCACTAAGGCCTCAGCCGCTGGGTTGTTTATTGCAGTGTCCTCAGTATGTAGTAGGTGCTCAGTAAAGCTGTGTTTCAAAACATGTATTTAGGAGTGTGTGTGTGTGTGTGTGTGTGTGTCTAAAGAAAAAGAGGCCATGAATTTAAAACCAGGATCTATGGGATAGATTGGAGGGAGAAAAAGGAAGAGTGATATAATAATAATTTCAAAAAAAAAATTTAAAAAAAGGAATGAGTTAACGAGCCTTCAACCCTTGAGGTCCTGGAATTTGCACAGACTCTGATTTTGTGGATCAGGCTGGGGTGCTGGATTCCTAACCCTGTCGCTTGCAAACACATTGGCTTTCTCTTCCATTGCTTCCGGTCCATTGAGGTTGCCTGTGCTTACTGTGGTCTACTCTTCTGTGTCCTGGGTCATTTCCCAGGAACACATACCACCCGGTTCTTTGTCCAAAAGCACCTACCAGCTTCCTTTTGGACCCTTGGCCTGTCCACACCAGGCTCAGTGAAATAGTGAAGTGAGCAGAGGACTCTCTTTATTCAGGTATGATGTGCAAATGAGGAAGA